TTACAAGACTTTACACTGGAGTAATAGAGCAGTGCTGCTTGGTGCACAAACAATACTATGTAGCAGAGAAGATTCCAACATATTTGTGTGGCATCCTCTTGGCCTTGCCCACTGAGCTGTGCTGGCACATCTGAGAAATGCGTGTGATACAGCAATTGCACACCTTGCAGGGCTCAACTGTACTAAATAACTATTGTTAGCTTTTATGTTGATTTTACTGTTTGCATTAATTAGTTACACCTCATAAGGCAAAGGTCTTATCATCATACATTGTCAGATCTTCATTAGCTGAGCAGACTGCCTTCTCAGCTCAGAACACCTTCAGCAAGTGCTCTATGTTCACTGTGTAAGAGGTTACAGCAGGGATTACTGAAGTGATGATGAATATTGTACTGTAAACCTGTCTTAGTGAACTAAGAGCTGGTGTTGGTCTAACATGACCAGACATAGCTGAGACTTAGAACAGCCTTGGCTAAAGTAAAGCAAATTATTTAGCATGAATAGCTTTAGCCCTCACGCCTGCATCTAAATCATTCATATCTTGTTCTGAGGATTTACTCCAGTAACAAATGTACTCCTATGAACCATTTACCTTTATTCTGCCTTTCACTAATCCTTATACAGTGCCAGTTTCAAGAGCACTGAACTCCAAACACACACATAATGCTCTTTCAAAGTCCAGAGAAAAACCCACAGTCGACCATCTCGGGCTTTCAGTAGAGCATAAGCACATCCTTAGAAGCTTGACTAATTCTAGATCACCTCACTAGTGAAGCTGTACAGCACAGGTTTCTCCTCTCCCAGTGAGTCACTCCCGTGGTGAATGACTGCATGCAGGAGCAGTGCCTCACCTCCCCTTGGGGACTCCAGGCTCTGCCCTCCTGCAGACCACCAGCACAAAGGCCAACCCAAACCACCAACCCCCTTCTCTCCTCACGCAACAACACATCCTCCTGTTCTCCCAGCAGCTGCGAAACAAATGCAAAAACACCTCGTTTGCACGGAAGCTCGCTGGAAGAAGAACAAGAAGGGAACAGAAATATGATCAGATTGCTTATTCATTTGAACCAACACTTCTACTGGCACATCTACTGCTGCTCTGAGCAGCTGCCATGAAGTCCTTCTGCAAGCAATTTCTTTTTAAACTCAGATCCTGAAGACATCATAACTGATCGTAGCCAACATAACATGTATCTTTTCCTGGAGACTATCAGACACCACTATCCCTAGACTGGTGCATCATGAAGGTAGAAACAGGATCCCTTTCCCAAGCTCTTCGTAATACTCCTTCTCTTTATTAAGAATGATTCCTCAGGAAGTACTCTACCTATTACCCACATGTTAATACCAGCTTAGGTTTCATTATGACTAAACGCCATTACAGCGAATTCCAAATGAATTATTCATTATTGGCTCCTTCTTTTAATGCCTTTGCCATGTGGCATGTTTTCCACAGTGCCTGCAAAATGTCTGTGGTAGGAAAATGCACCTAGGTGTCCCTGGCAGCTGGAAACTGAAAATCTAACTGTTTTGCTTTGCATACAATGAGGGAAGCTTAACATCTACTTACACCAGAGAAATCCTTTTTCTTCCCACAGTTACTTACCTTAAAGTCAATTCAGAATAGACTGGAGTGAAGGATGATACACCTAATCTGGTTTTTCAAGTGAGAGGTGTGGTTTTGCTTAAAAACAAAAGCAAATACCATCTTCATTACTCTACATCACAACTACTGCCAAAGAAAACGTCTCATATGCCATAAAAACTAAGAAAAATCCCCAAAAAATCCAATGCACTTCAGTTCTTTGACTGAAATTTCTAAAGGGGAAGGTCGCATTATTTCCCCATCTTTTTCCTCAGCCTGTTGTTAGTCTCCTAGGCAAGGAAACCTTCAGATGTAGTAACGGCCATCGGAGCAGAGGTAACGAGTAATTTAGCCAAGCTGTCACCTCCTCTTTTAGCTCAGCAAGAGTTTATTTTATTCATTTGCTTTCACACACACTCCTACTGGAGACTTATCCCAAGGAGGCAGCCATTTCCCAACCTGGTACACTACATCCTGTAGTTTTCTCTCCCCAAAAAATTGAGCTAAAAGGAACCAGCGGAGCCCAAAGTCCCTTCTTACATGACAGCTGGAGAGTTGCACTTGATGGGCCTAAAAAGAGAGGCTATATATACCTGAAAAAGATATTTTGTGTCTAACTCAAATGAGAACCTCCTGCTCCTCTTCTCCCTGTGCCTGAGAACATGGGCAGAAGACTGAACCTGGTCGTGCCAAAGGCCCATTTATCACAACGCTGTCTTTCACAACGGCCAGTAATGGGCATTTAGGAGAAAATATATCAGAAGTGAGGCAAGTATGAAATCCTCCATATCTTCTCCATTTCAAGTAATTTGTGGTTTAAGGACTTCCTGAGCTGCAGCCTACATCTACGTCATCTCATTTAATAGCCCTTTAGAGACCTTTGATTCCAATTCACTTTGTTGCTTTTTGAATTTCATACTTTCGATATCTGAAACATCCTGTGGCAATGAGTTCCGCAATTTAATTATGCATTGTGTGAAAAAGTGGGTTTCGTTTCTTTACAGCCTGTTGCACAATCATTTTATTTGGTACTGTTTCCTATTATGAGAAATAGCTAATAACCCTTCCCAACAATCGCTTTTCCATTTCACTGCTCATTTTAGACTGGCAATGGACAGACAATACAGGAAAGTACAGAAATTGCAAACTGTAAACATGTGCAAAGGTTTGCAAGCAAGATCAGACAGAGGGAAGAGAAGTTACTTTGCATATAAAGTAGGTTGCTCTGAAAGTAATGCCTCCTATTTATTTCCATGGAAATGATAACAGATACAAAGAGCACAATAAGACTTTTCGACAAAGCAAATTCTCAGCTACGAAACATTACTTTTCAATATAATCGCCACGATTAGATATGCATTTTTTGCCAGCAATGAACAAGAGCCTGCATGTCATGCTTATGAACATCTGCACTGTTGCCACTGCTGAAACACATTGCTCAGAGCCTCACTGTGCTAACTTCCACTGTTTGGTCTCTACAACTGTTCAGCAAGCATCAATGAATGCCATTGGGTGCCACTTACTCTGCACAGAGGAATTCAATGCCATACCTCTGCTTCAAGCAAAGTTCCACGTCAGACGCCATTGTGCCAGACTGCCCCTCTGCTGCCATCTGCCACACAGCAACATGTAATTGGATACTGGTGGGAAGGTTCACCTTCTACTACCACAATACCAACATCCATCTCTGATATTGTATGCTAACACAATAAAGTAGAAGGCATTACTTTCAGAGCAGTCTTTATATAAATATATAAATGAACTGTTAGCATCTGCATAGGCATAAAGCTGGATAAACATGAGAAAATACTATTCACTCCATATATCTTCCTCCCTGACCATATCTCAGGAACACAGGGGAAAAAAGCTGCTCCGGTCTTTAATAATACTTTCATTGAAACAAATGCTTCTGTAGTATCTGACACCCATCTTGTAAAAGTAGCAGTATTTGAAATCACGCTCATTAAAGTTTTCTTCCTAACAGTTAACGCGTTCTCAATTGCTTTTCTGAATAAACACCATGCTGAAGTATTCATGCTATTCCCTTGCTGTAAGTATCATGGCAATGTTAACTAAATAAATATGCAAGAGTGAAAAAGTTTTTAAAAGAGACTCACTGTACGATTACTAGCTGTTGGTACTTGATGTAAAATATCTAACTTACAAAAGCACTCTGGCATGTTTTTGGACGAGCCTTATCAATAGCCCTAATGAGAAATGACTAACAAAGGACTTTTTGTACAAATGAGATGGTTGCAGACAGAAGGGAATTTATTCTGAAGGAAGAAGAATGAAGCCTAGTGTTCTCACTCACTGGCCCTTCACCTAGAGTTGTTTTACTGTTGTTTGCGTGTATCTTAAGTACTGTGATGAACAGCATACGCTATTACAAGAATGCTTTTTTCCTCTGACTTCTGTTCCCCATAACTAAGCACCACTGTCATTATCAGATGGCAAAAGCAAACTAATGATAAAATCCTAAATCCGTTTTCTTAAATAGTCTTTCGGAAAGCCTGCCTGTCATGTAAGTCAAAGGTGGGGACATATCATCAGGACACGTCTAGTTTCCAAAACAAAAGTAAAATGCAGCTATACATAATCTCATCACTTAATTGAAATTTACAAATGCAGAAGTCTATTCTCACTTTTTGAAAAGCCTGTTTGAGATAAGGTTAGAATAAAGCTAAGACTGATGTAGCAGCGAGTGCTGGGGAGTGATGTTTTGTTCATCTGAAGGTAAGGAGACTGAAGTCAACTCAGTGTTGAAGTGCTGTTTGTAACAGGCATAAGCTTGCCCTGAATCCAGGCAGTGCTGTTAAAACCTTTCCCCACATTGCAGCCAAAGGCCTGCAATAATTTACCCCATATACTGCAAAAGCACAGAAGAAACACTATGTTGACCATTTGGACTTGAAGCAGATTAACATCCACTGAAAGAGTCCCATAAACTTCACTGGCATTGGATCAGGTCCCTTAAAATCTCGCCCTCTCGCAGTCAGAATGAAGTGCTGTAACACAGGATACATAAGGTCACCAACAATTTATTAAAAGGTAAACATGTAAGAACGGCCAGGGTTCTCCTTTACTATCATGTCTCCTCACAGGGGCTAAAATCATTTGACAAGGGGAACTCCATTACATACAGTGACGGCTGTACAGCAACTGGAAAAGAACAGCTGTAGGAAGCAGGGCTGCCTTAAGTTACGCCTGCCTGTTGTACTACAGAAGCTACATGCTCCACACACAGTCTGTTCATCTAAGGATCTATTTTCCCAGTGTGGCACAGCTGAAGCTCCTGCACTGGCCTTCAAATCCATCCATGCATTCACTACCCCGCTCCAGGCCTTGCTCTCACTGGAAGAGCCTTTCTCTGCTGCATGGAACAGCCAGGCCAGATGACATCATGCGACCTGCCCTCACTCAGCTTTCAGTGACAAAATGACCTCAGCGGTCTGCAAGGTAGCAGAATCCTTTCAGTTGGAGGAGTAATGAATGGCACTATCACATTATCGAGCTGCTTCTACTTTCATTTCTGTGGGAAAAAGAAATAAGAACTCTGCTAAATCCACACTCAAAGGGATGTGAAACCAATTAGTAGCCTGGCTCAGCACCCGTAAAGTTGCTGTCTACACCATGAAATGTTATAAAACAAAACACAAAAGAAAAATCAAATCAATAAGGAACAGTCCATGCCAAGCAATAAGCCTGCAGGTGCTTGCAAGGTGCAAATTCAATATGAATAGTGGCACTTTTAGAAAACTAGCTATGACTGAGATGAAACCAAGCAGAACAGAAATTCAGGAGCAAGTGAGGATGCATTTTCAAAGTATGTCAGGATTTATTCTGTTCCTAAAATAACCCGACAGTTAATCCACCCTGCTGGCAGGTGCACGAGAGTAGGTGATTCCTTGCAACTATTCTCATTATACTTCTTCCCAGATGGGGATAGCAGTAAAGTGAGCAGGGGCAGAAGATGGAGATGGAGAGCCCATTTGCCTAACTTTCAATGTAACTGATCATGCAAAAACAGCGGGCCATTCAAGCAGAATTTCTTGAGTGAGGATGACATGTAGCATTGGTTCAAGTGCCTCTGCATGCACCATCTTCTGCAATGCACCTTTAGGAATTAAGGGTACATCATCTGCAGGAAGGTGGGATGATGGAGGCTTTGGTGCATGTGCACAACTTTGTCTCAAGTGGGAAATGAGTTGATCTGGCTCAAGAACGGAAAGAACTTCTAATTTTGAGTTCAATATGTTGCTTCTTATGAACATTACACCTTCCACTTCCCCTAGAATTCAGCCCTCTGCTAAAGAAGTTCTAAAGGGAAAAAAAAAACAGTAGCAGCTTTTCTGAATTAAAATACTTCAGTTGCAATCAATTTCCATTTACAATACTTGAAACAAAATGCTAAAAAACAGAAGTCACCTCAAAAATAGTATGTACTTTTGTGCCCCATTAAGTCAGTTTTAACACCATTGGAATTCCTCCAGCCTGTTTTTCTTCCCAAAACAAAGCTGCTCTGCTTCCAGAAGGCGCAGCAGCACCAATACACACAGAACCTGACATCAGTGCAATATGGCTTCTTCAGTTCTTCTCCAGCCAGCTCCAGTAATCCACAGCAGGATGAGCTGGTCACATCCGTCAACCTCCTCCAACAATGTTGATGCTGGGACAAATTGTTTGTTTTTTTCCCCCCTATGCAGTGAATAATCCCTACAAAGTGTCACCATCCCAAGCCCATCGATACCATCCACCAACCCTGGAGGGAGGAGGAACACAGAATAAGGCTGTTTTTGTATTTTCTGATAAGGAAAAAAAGCAGCCATGTTATACAGAAAACACAAAAGCACTTCAGAGTGACCGTAGAGCAGATTGTGCTGCACATTCCCAAGCACTGGATTCCTGGAGGTAGGAAATTTAATCCATATTTATTTAATTATTTTAATTTAAAAAACCAAGCAATGACCTCAGAGTTATGTGTTTATTATCAGCTCCAATGCACTTGTCACAGCTGTGGCTGAAAGGGAAGCCAGGGGAGGATTTGAAAATAAGAAGAATCCAAGAAATGTCTCCATTTCAAATGTCATTGTTTTTTTCTTCCTAATTAGAATACAGTTTGCCTTTCAGATGCCAAAGTTTCTGCATTAGTGGCTTTTAGCATGATGTCATTTTCCTGTCTATATGACCACAGCGCAGCCTTACCTCAAGTGTTTGCTAACAACAGAAAAATAACTGTGGAAACCTGTGTGCAATTCTGCAACATCTGAATTAGTGCCACATCGCTAGCAGTCCCAGCTCAGGAGCAGACAGGCAGGACTGCTACAAGGGGATGTGTGCATTCACTCTGATACTCTCCAGAATGTGAGGCCCTGCCAAAAGTACCCAGCAAGTTCTTCTCAGAGACTTACACAGTTACCTGCTTCAGCTACCCATGTTTTATGTGCACATGTGAAATGGAGGTAGTTTGTCTTTTAAAACAAAACAAGCAGAAAAGAATTAGTAGACCAGATTTATTCCACTTACAACTACATTATGTTATTCCAGAGCCAAATTTCATCCATATGTGAATTTCAGCCTTTCAGTGACTTTAAGTACAAGCAATTTCTGGTTTGCTATCTCCCTCTCCCTCTTTGCAGTTGCCAAGCAAATAAAACCACTGGTAGTTGATATTTGTATTAGAACTAGCATTGCTAAAGTTTTAAAGATCTAACTCAATTTCTTCAGGACAGTTCTTCAAACTATTTAAGAATGGTTCTCATTCCTTCAAGTCTCACTCAGAGCTTTGACTCAGAAGGAGAGTGTGAACACTAAACTAGAATGAAAGCACAAACAATAACAGAAGTTAAAAGGCAATTTTGCTTCAATAGCAAGCCAGCAGCTGTTCAGCCTTCTTGTAAACTGCATGTGGATAACGTGGGTTTGGGTTACAGGTTACAGATAGCTTTGCTTTTTATCTCTGTGTCAGCAACTGGCTTGGCAGCAGCAGGTTTTTTAATGCTCAGTTTTCTTATGAAAATATTTCAATGAACTTGTTGGTTTGCCTTCTGATTTTTGGATCATCCACTATCATATGTGCTTAACAAAATTCCACCAGCCATCTCTGCTGATCCTGAGAACAACTCAATCCTCTTCTGCCATGTTCAAAGCTACACTGGAAAAGCCACATGGGGAGGTACCCAGGGACACTGCAGCCTGCCCAAGCACAACCCAATGGGTGGAAATTGTGTCATCTCCACTCAGCACTGAACCCAATGCACATCAGGTGCAAAAAGAGGCAGGTAAGGTTACAAGAAACCACAGGCTCCCACTCTGCTCTTTCCCAGAAGTCAAGGCAGACACGCACACTTTATGTGTAACACTTCAATTATTATTTGACAAGCATCCCCAAAAGCCATCTTGCTGACCCTCCCTCAAGTCTCTGTGCCAAACTCATTCATACCAGAGTGATAATAGCTGACAGGAATCAGTTTGGTTTGGCTGAAAAGGCAGCATCTTGAGAAAAAAAGAATTGGTTTCAGAGGCCCACCCAAAAAATGCAAAGGCTGGACTCCATCTGAGAGCACAACTTGGCCTCCTGTCTCCACTCCCACAAAAAAAGCTTGTAAATGTTATGCTCTTTGGGCCGTATTTTTTTTTCCCCCTGCATTAAAAACTGAGTGAATTTAGTGCTTATAAAACCAAGGGGCTGATAGCAACTGGCTAGAACCAGATGTTAGGAAGACTGGAGCATATCATACAAACAGATCGTGCACACATAACTCAGAAGTATGTAGCTGCATTACTTATTCTCAGTCAAGTTACCAAACAGATTGATTTCTGAGGCAACATAAAAACATTATGCTCAAATCTCAAGGTTTAGGAAGAAAAAGGAGTGGGGGGGGGAAGCTCAAGATATCTGTAAGTATCCAAAACTATCTGCTGGGAAAGAAGAAATATATTCCCCGTCCCCCATCCTTTGCAGTTTGATCTTTCCATGCCACCCCAACCAGAGTGCATGGAGCACTGAGAAGGGACACAAATGCAGTGGCTCAGCCCTGTGGGAGAGCAGCACACTTCTCAACACAAGGGACAAAATGACCTCCAGGGACACAGTCCCACATCCTCCTAACAAGAAACCATATGGAATACTTCAGCCACCACCATTCAGCTTGCACACAGATTCAAACACCTTTAGGAGGAATTGTGCCAGGAACAGGTGTCTGAAGAGCAGGTATCTCTGACAGGACAAAGAAGGCAATGGATGCCATCTGCCAGGAAGACCTATGGAAAGACAGCCTTGTGTAGCTGGCTCTCAAGGAATTTGAGCTCTTTGTTTTGATGGGTTGAAGGTGTTTTTCCAAACAAAAACTGAATTGCGCTGACTTAAAGTGTTTCAGTTTATAGCTGTTTCTCCTTGAGATTTTTGTTAAAAAAATTAAGCAACCTAAAGTCTCCTTCTGCCTAGATTCCACATCTCCTGCTCCATTTAGTGTAATCCCTACAGGTCTCACATAAACACCAAGGCACCCCAAAGCTCAGTTTGGGGCTCTCAGGCTCCCCCAACACCTCCATCCTTCCACAGCATTTCAGTGGGGTCTCATAGTTCACTGACAATAAAGGAAGCCTTCTCAAGCCTTTGCCCACCTTGCAGCCAGCCTTGCTGTGAGTCCCTACTGACCAGCAAATGACAGCACAAAGCCCAACACAGCCACAACTCAGCTTGTTACAGCTGCAGCTAATTTTCTCCTACACCTCCTTTCACAGACTTCAATTTGGAGTGCCCACATGCTCCAACTGAGCCCTTTGCACCCCACAGGCCCTGCACCACATCACAGGTGCACCAGCAGCAGTACACTATCTACCATTAGTATAATGCAATTATGTGCCAGCAACACCTGAAGTCCTGGGCAGGGCAGGGATTCAATAGCAGACATCTGCTCAGGAAATCCTACATCTGTAATAACAATAACTGTGGTAACTTCAACCAGGAGAATTATTTTCCAGCTAGATCCAACAATCATTCCAGTCTGTAGGCAAGAGATCAACAAAACCTAGGACTTCATAACATAGCAGCAGTGGGTTGTCAGCAGGCACATCCCTCTTTCAGGTCCACATTCAGGACACCACAACAGCCTTTTGTTTTCAGGTCACAAACCCATGCCACAAGGACTGCACTCATGTTCACTTTTACACACAGTCCACTCTCACCTTATGTGCTCTGTCTGAATTGTGGAAAGACAGGCTTCTTCAGTTGCCTATCCAGCACATAACTAGGATCCTGATCACAGGTTATTACGTAGAGCCTAGAAGAGAGAAGATGGGAAGTTAGCAGTAGCACTGAACACTGTGGTGGCGGAGGCAATTTTAACGCAGTGACTCAAACTCAGAAAGCAGAAAAGTTGCAATGTATTAAACTGTGAAGAGTTTACAAGATCTGAACATCTAAAATACAGCTCTGAGAAATTACTCCTTAAAGCAGGCAAGCAAGAGCATCACCGACAGAACCAGGGAATATTGCTTCCACGGGAAACGCTCTGTGGGTGTGTTATAAGCTCTGCTCCTTGGCCTGTCACCACATTAGTTCTTATATTTCTCTTTTCTCATACTGAAGCACTGTCCTGTGATAGAGTAGAAATGCATTTACAGCTGAAATTACAAAAGTGGCCCATTATGTTCTTTAAGGTAGTAAAAAGGCTGCAGTTTGTCACAGCTGTCTGGAGCCCAGGACGCCTACACTTGGCAGAGCTGTGATCCTTCTCCTTCTCCCGCCCTCAGGCTGAATTTGTGTATGTGTGCACACAGATTAAGGCTTTGTACAAACAGCTCTTTAATGTGTTCTAAGACAAAAATAAAATGGCGCTCCAGTGAGGCAAGAGGTCAGAGCATTCCTGAGCACTTATTTCAGAGTGGCTCCCATTCAGTTCCCACTTCCTGGTTTCCCACAGCAGTTACACCTATCTCCCAGGGCAGGGGGCTGCAATGGATCACCTCAGAGGCTTTCTCCAGAGGCACAAAGTCTCAGCACAGCCATCAAGAAAACTACAAAGACATAGGAGAAGGGCAACTGACCCTTAGGATATGGCTAACCATTACAGCCTAGCCCAGAAGCCCAGCCCCACATTACTCCAAGACAACCCTTCCCATTGAAACTTCCCAAACCCAATACAGAAATGTGCCAGCCCCTCACCTCTTCTGCAGTTCCACTGTTGGAAAAGGAATTTAATAACAGGTAGCATATTGTACACTCCTGCACCTAAGCAGAAGCAGGACCTCTCAACCAGAAAACCACCCCCAGCAACCCATCCTAACTGCCAGCTCCCCTTCTGCTCCTCCCCCCAAGCCTTTATATGGTCAGGTTGCTCAGCTGCCAGTTTGATTGGGTCCTTGGCAACCAAAATGAGGAAGCCCAGCCCGGGCCCCACCCATTCAATCATTTTAATTGTGCCCTCCATTCCCCCCAGGTGTGTTGAGGTTCTTTCTGGGTGTTGATGTGGAGGGCTGGTGGCAGGCTGTATGAAACAAGCTATGTTGTGGCAGTTCCGGAGCTTCTGCTTCACACCTTTCCTCGTAAAAGGGGCTGCAGGAGGCTCAGGTTGCAGCCTGGTGCAGCTCCTGTAGTTAACACGCCAGCAACCCTCTTTCAAAATGCCCTGAGAAGGGCAGATCTCAGGTCTGAGCAGGGGTTCAGCTGGCCAGGCATTTACCAGCAAGTAATTGCAGCGTTGTAAGGTCCTACCAGCCCTTCTTCTGCAGCTGAGCCCTTGCACCGACCCTGAAAACGCTGAGAAGGATTTGCAGGGGTAGGGGAAATCCTAATCCAATCACTGCAAATTACAGCCTGTGAGAAGGTTTGGCTTAGGTTTGAGTTTCAGGGTGATACAGTATTAAATCATCCGCATCCCGTTAATGCTTTCTGAGCTAGGTGGGAAGACAAAGCAGTTGAGGCAGGCGCAGTGGGTAACATTAGAGGATGGAAAGGCAATGCTAAGGGTAGCACTGCTGGTGTGCGCACAACTGAAGTGCTCTTTACAGAGGAGCTAGGCTACCTCAATTGGACCTGCACCAATGAGCCAAACATCCTTTTCGTTTTGAGTTGGTTTCTGTGTTTTCTTTTTTCAGCCTGTGAAAGAACTGAGGGTCTCATCCAGTGGCCAATAAAGTAGAATCATCAGCCACTGTGCATGGAGTAGCTTGTCACACATAGGCTGAAAGGGAAAATAAATAGAGTGAATTCTTCAGAGCAGAGGGAGTTTCCTTTCTCTGTTAGTCCTGCATAGGCCTCAAGATGGAAATCTACTCTCAGTTGAGGCCTTTGGGTGCTTGTCTAGTATAAATATTTACTAATAACGTAGAGAGTGAGAGCAGGAGAATAGTCATTTTTCTCAGTGGCTCAGGGTTAAGTACAGGGCAATGGCATCTTAAATCCAGATGTTCTCCTTTTGGGATTTGCCCACAAGGCATATTCTCATGAGATTTCTCTGGCATTTTGATTTGGATAGTAGCAAGCACTTTTAGCCCAATGATATCATGAGCAGATGACTCAAAATGTTCAAGGATTTTCTTTGTAAATTCCAGCAGTTTATTTTATGACTAACAGGAGGAAGAAAGTTTTGCAGATTTCATCTTCTCATCCTTCTATATTCCTATTTCCAATTAGTTTTAAAGACACCAAATTTGGTGTTCTAGCAGAAGACTTATTTAAATGTATATTTCACATACAAAGGAAAATACTGAGCTCACATGCATGTAGGAGCTGTTTCTGAGTTACTGGTAGAACTCATCCTGATGAAGAGACAGAAACAACGCAGGTGCCCTTTTGGGACAATAAAGTGGAATAAAAAATAGAAAACCCTTTCCCATTGCAATTTTTAACAACACTTAATGACATTTTATCACCTTTCTTGAAAAGAATGCCTCAATAGTTCAAAAGTCTTATACCTTTGGTCACAATATGCAGAGTGCCCAAACCTTACAGAAAATGCCCTGAGTGCAGCAGCACGGAACTGTGCAGGAAGATGCACACCATTTACCAGCCCTACATGCACAAGTGAGCTGCATATTTAAAGACTGAGCAAATGTTAGGCAGCAGAACCAGAGCGAATAAATGCAGGAAATTCATTGGAGGTGAAACTGGTCTGACTTGGCCAATACCGTTTCACAACATCATCAATCCAAGGCTTGCACAGGGGTGATTTTTCACTCCCGTCCAATTCACTAAGGAGTTGCACGCTACTTTGGTGGATTTTCTGCACAATTACAGATTATTGCTATGGTAACAGATGCATCACATGACAACTTTGTTACCTCAGAGACAAGAAACAGCTGCTTAAAGAAACAGGCATCCACCAGGAAAGGGGATATTTATTTCTTTTTTTTTTTTTTCCATTGGCCTCATATTGTTTTAAAAGGCCTTGCTGATTTTCTCATGGATGCGGCTCCCCTCACTTTGATAGCTAAAAATATTTCAGTGCATCAACTGAAAGTTATTTTCTCCCAGATCATATTTTCCCCTCTTGCAGCATACGTTTGAAAGAAAAAAAAACTGAAAAAAAGAGTTCATGTAATTTGGGAGAGAAGCAAAGTGTTTTTTTTTCTCCCTCATCAGCAGCTCTTTCTAGTGCTGCCGTTTTGTTGTTATTAAGTTAAAGAGTATTGAAACGTTGCTAATGATATTATTGGAGAGAAATCCCAGATCCCTGCTGCAGGTTCCTCTGGAGCACCAGCCACACATGAACATGCCAATGAGAACCAAGGTGTGCCATACTCTTGAGTCATTTGGTAATTTTTCTTAGTTCAGAGGTGTCAGTTGTTGCTACTGCCATTTGTAGGCAATTTTAAATTAAAAACAAACAAACAACAACAACACTCTTTTAAAAAGCTCACTTAGTAAAGTAGCCAGTTTGGGGTTTTAATTCCAGCTACCAACCTATTCTCATTTTTTCTGTACGTAAGGTATAATAAAAATCATCTTTTTACCCCTGTTTTACAACCCGTTCTCCTATTCAATATCCTCTGTTCACCTCCCTGCCTCCAGTGCCCATCCCACGCAGCTCTGGGGCTGCCCCCAGTCCCTGTGCTCCCTGCTGCCAGCAGCCAGCAGTGTTAATTAAGGAGCTCCTGGGCTGGTGCTCAGACAGCCAGACCACTTCAGCCCACAGTGAACGTCTGATTAATTAAAGGCTTATAATTAACCTTCATGGCTGGAATTTCCCAAAGACTTGAACGGGAGGTTGGAACCAAATCACTTTTGTACCTCACTAGGAATCACCCTAAGCATGAGCAATGCAAAATGTTCCTTTTTCTTGAGTTTGTAGGTGTTTTTTGAGGCTCACAGGGAGAGCTAGGAAGTACATCACATGCAGAAAGCAGCTCTGTGCCCCCCTGTGCTATCACCACCGCTGCACCAAGGTAGGCATCGCCCAGTAGTTACTCCAGATTTACCCCAGCATAAAAGAGAGCAAGAGTCTGGCCTGCAGTTTTCATGCCAATGGCCTCAGTGACGAGGGCTAAGGAAAAAGAAATACATCAGACACATGAGAGAAAAACAGATATTTTTCTTTAACCATTTTTTGTAGTTCCTTTCAGGAATCAGATTTTCTTTTTTGCAAATGTTAACTGGTAAGCTACTTCTGCATTGGGCATTTTTGTTAACGAGGCCAGTGCCTTAATGTGTTTTTCTCCAGTTAAGTATTTCTGGTAAATGAGATTCTGTTGTACAGCTTAATTTAGCACTGTTATTTTTGTTGTTGTTTTTACTTGACCGCATGGAGCTCAGCGATTTGTAACATAGGCCCTCAGCCTATTTTTAAATTTCATGTTGCCCTTTTTCAGTCCTTTTTTTTTTCAGAAGCCTGAGAATGAAAGGACCAAACAACGTTGCTTCATCATTGAGAGCCTTTGTTTCATGAGTGCACAGGGTCACCAGTGACATGAATTTGTTCAGCACTCAGCACAGGTTCTGCTGAAGAGATCATCATAGTTTAGTAGCAAAGACACCCAGTCTTTTAATTTCTGGCTCACGTTAGTGCTGAATGGAAGATGTTCTGTGCTTATCCTATGGTAAACTCCAAGCTGAGGAAGTACTGGCAAAAGGCTTCCAGGCAGAGCATGGGGATGCCTTCGACAGCTGCACTCAGTGAAAGAATAGGGGGAAAATTACCTTCAAGTGAATCTCAGCCAACCATCACTAGGGGTCCTGCAGACCAAGTACATATCTTCTAATGGCACTGATTTCTCAGTTTCACCTCCTGTCCGCTCAATATCATGGTTTTACTCCTGTTTTTAATGAACTAAACTGTCACAAAGTCACAAAGATGGTATTATAGATTGGAGTTACTGGCAAACAGACTTTTTTATGTGCCCTACGCTGATAGTCACTGACCTTTAACCTTCAGATCAAGGCGTATTAAACTGGCTTTGAAAAACTCAGTGAGATCTTCCCCAGGTGCCACCTTGGGTTTTTTCTACCTTGTTCCCCTTTTTCCCTGTATTTCTGGAGGCCAACAAACAATTTGTTTTCCATTTGGTCACAAAGAAATAGGGGTGTGGTGAGTGGAGAGGGGGATGCACTTACTCCCTCAGCAAAGTAAAAGCAAAAACATCAGCTGATTGAAATGCCCCAAACTTAAACAGGGCATTAGGCAGAATTAACAGACTAGACCTCTAAGCCATCAGAAATTCCCGGTTGAATAAAAGATTGATTTCAAAGACTCAAAGATACCTCAGGGCCAGCATTTCCAAAGAAGACAGGAGCTGATTGGAGCTGAAGCATTCCTCTTGTTCAGTGCATTTGAGTGAGCACTTTAAGTCTCCAAAGATTGAACTATAAAGAGAAATTAGTTTATTAATAATTCACAGGCTCCAAGAAGAAAAAATGTCAAAAGCATATGCTCACGAACAAAGCTGATTTTATTTTCCCTGTTTAGAATTGAGCAACATGTAGAAAAGTGGAGAGTGTCAAGCTCAAAAATTTAATTCAGGGGTTTTTCTTTTCCTTCCCTTTAACCCAGCAAGCATAATTCTGCCTTCCTCGTGAGTGCTGAAAGTTCTTCAAATCCCAAATGGTTTATGTGAAACATTAAAAGCACACTATCATCTTCAGCTCTTTAATAGTTTCGGACATTTTCATGGCATAGTTATTATCCAATAGCTCTTAATTACAGCTTGTACATTTCAAGACAACACATTCACAGTCCGCAATAACAGAGGTGGCAGACTCCCGTCCCAGGGACGTGGTTAAGCACATGCTTGCTTTATGCACAGGAGGTATCTCACTGAATCTGGCCCTGCCTCACCCCACTTCTCCAAGGGTAAGATATCTGCAAAAATGAACTTAATATCAAACTGTGGTGTTGTAGTTCCTTCACTTGGGCATTATGATTCTGATGGATCCATATAATTTTGGTGATTACTTGATTAGAGAATGCTAGTTAAATAAAGAACACTTTATTAAAGAACATTCTTATTGAAATTCAATGAAAGACCACAAGAAGGTTGTGAATTTAAGATGAAAAGTCTTCTGTTGTCTAGTGGAGAAATTACAAATAGAGTGCAGTCATTTCTGAAATTTTAATCTCCATATCTTCAACCAAATATTGGTTCTTCTTGTAAGGGTCCATGTTTCCCTCTACTGGAGAGCAAAAATAAAATAAAATAAAATGGAAAAAAAAATGCACTGATGTGGAATTTATGTGGAAGTTTCAATTTTTCACTGAAGAAAAGCAAAATGAAATAGTTTTAAGACAAAGCCTTTCTTTCAAAAATTTTCATGGGAAATGTTTACTTCTTTCCTGTAGTTCTTCAGGAGCTGATGGCGCTGCCAGTTTGCAGTTCCCACTTCCGTATCTCATTGCGCTTTTGCAGTACTCTGCAAGGTCAGTAGCTCTCAGACCAACACTGGGCTACTGAAATTGCAGGTGAAAGAAGCCAAAAGGCTCCTGCACCCTTTCTTCACCATGTAGGTCAGTGTATGGCAGTAAAGACCATATATGAGCCATAAACTAAAGATCACACATAAACCCAACACACAAGTATGAAGATGTCTATCAATTTTGGAATTGGTATTATATGAAAGATGCAGGCAGGCACAGAGGCATTTGCTCCAGATCTCTGGGGAAGACAATTGCAAAGAGATCACTTTCTTTCTCTTAACTTCATCACACTATCACAGATTGGACCATTATGGGATGTAATTAGCCTCAGTTTTATACATGATTAGTTCTCGAAAGTTTGATCCAAATAACACACTTGCAAATCAGGAGAATAATTAAATTTAGGATGCGGCTGTTGGGGAATCTTCTCCAGCTAAGTGTCAGTAGGTGAGAATGGGCCTGATACTCACTGCCAGCCCCTGCCCTGGCTTCAAGGGCAGGGTAAGAATATGGAAGAGACCCCCCAGGCCAAAACAAAACAGCATATTGTGTCCTCTACATTGTGGGTAGCTTTGACATGGTGTCACTTCTTCTTCAGAGAAAAAACATTATAAAACTGGGGCTAATGTACGCTCTGGAAGGGAATGCTTCTCCCTGCTCTTTGCCAGAGATGTCTGCTCCCCAGAAGAGCCAAGCAATTGCTTACTACCACTGAGCCTTTTTTATTTTTCATTATCTCAGAAAAAAAGTCTCAGCCCATGAGCCAATCTCAGCAAAGCAAAACCAGATTATGAGTTAGCATTACATTATTAATGTGTCAGTCCCATCCGTTTCTCAGTTTCCATTATATTGAATCAGAGTATTACTGCTGTTGGAAGGAATCTGGTGATAAAGAAAGCCACCTCCCAACAACCGATGAAAACGATAAAAGTAAAAGAAGAGGCGAATCATCATCATCCCAAAGAAAATCCATTGCCACCGGGGCCCTGAGGCAGCTGTGATTCCCGTGGGACTCAGCTGTGACTCAGAGCATGGGCTGCAGCTGATGCTCTCCCCCCGAATCACGCTCACAGCCAACAAACTATTGCTCTCTAAAAATGTGAATTTTTTCCCCTGCAGATAATTATTTGTTTATTTCACCTCCGAATGAACCAAAGCAGAACTTGTTCCAGAGCAGCACTAGAAGAATGCATAAAGTTCAGATGAACTCTTTGTGAGATCTTTCCTTTCTTCTTCTCTCTGAGCAGAATGCTCAGCTGGCAGACGGAGATCACGGTCCTTTCTGCAGGTTCCTCCCAAGATGCAGAGTTTGTGGTGCTTGCTCTCTGGTACATGAAGGCAAGACGAATAAAGTTTGGTTTCTCTCAGCTCTTTGTGGTTGTTCCCTAATAATCTGCACTGTTCGAGCAAAGGGTGGTGAGCCCTTTGCTGCTATGGTAGGTGAACTGCAAGAAGTAGAGGTTCAAATTCTGGAGTTAGGATTTCATTCTCTCCCAGGCTGATTTCCTCTTGGCACCAACCAGAGCCCTTGAAATCCAGGGAAGTTTTGCCTGACTAAGTAATGAGTAATGATTCCAGGAATCAACATTTGGAGATAATACCAAATTGAGTATCTTTTCTAAATTAGCTTTCCTCCTAAGGTCATCTCTGCAACACTCAAGGCACGATGTGTTATTTTCAAAATGAGTCAGTCTGTCTGTAAAGCCAATGCAAGAATTAATGTTCATTTTTCCAATAGAAAACATAAGATTTGAGACTATTAAGCAGCACTTGTCCATACACCCACTGCATGGCTGTGCTCCTGGGGAGTGGCTGTCCAGAGTACAGCAGTAATAACCTACAGCAGGTTGCAGCAAAATCAATCCCCACATGTTTCAGAGGGACCCTTCCAAAGCTCTCCGGCATGTGACAGAGGGCTGCTAATGAGAGGGAGAGATCATATTCATTGCATGAGTGACAGGTGAAAGGGAAGATTAACGTTAGCATACACCTGCTCTTTGGTGCCCCAATTAAGACCTCCTACTGTCAGCAGTAACACAAGATGCAAATCAGCCGATGCCCTTCCCCCTCCTCCAGGAAAGCTGTGGCAGGATTTGGAATAAACTACAAGGAGAAAAGAAACACAAGAGCTCAAATGTCCTCCTTGCCCTGTGAATTGTTTGCTCGCTTACTACTTTTTTCCCTTCTTTGTCTTTCTTTTGCCGCCCCTCACTTTTTTCTTCGTGACTCAACAGCCTCATCTCGAGAGGGAATATGACCTGTTTCAGCAAGGGATGCCTGCCCTGGGGACAACCCTGGGGACAGACTGAAAAGCCGTGATTTGAATTGACAATATTTATCCCTGCTTTAAATTCATTTGAATGAACCTTGCTCAAGCCAGAGGCAATAAATAGAGGAAATAGGTGGAAATATCACAGAAGGAGTTATGTGGAATGAAGGAGGAGGGAGTTGTTCATCAGTTTATCCTGCACTAGGTCTAGGGAAATGCTTCTGTGGCAATATTTTAATGCACCATTGGCAATCTGTGCTGGAATATTGCAAATCCATGAGTAGCTCTTCTGAGTGCTTCTCCAATATGTCCATACTATCCTTTATTGTCTCCTCCTACTGTCCAATATTAATCAAATATTGCTTATCTGGTGAAACTGCTAAGGTATTGCAGACTTCTGCTCAAAAGATATTGTACCAATTGTACTTTCAGCTTTCTTGTATCTGTTGTATTGGGAGAACAGGCTAGAAAATGCCAATTCCTTCCAAGGAAATTTTTTTTAATTACTTTCTTTTTAAGAACAAATTTGCATCCATCACTCCCTGGGGGAAAAACAATAAATGGATTTTTCAGTAAGTTACAATTCAAGCTAACAGTAAACATTTGGGTAGGTCTTCCAGCACCCTTGCCTCCCTTCTCTGCCACCCAATGGGCAGAGGCAGACAGCCAGAGCACTCGGCCTTCCTGTCCTTCTCCCAGCCCGCTGGCTGTTGGAAAACTTGCATCTATTTGTTGTTTTTCTTTCTTTTTTTTCTTTTTCTTTTTTTTTTTTTTTTTTTTTGCCTTCAGGCAGAAAATAAAATTGGCAAAAATCTTCCCATCAGGAAGCCAGGAAGTCCTGTTTAAGTTTTCCCAGGGGGCTGCTCAGCAAAGTCAGAATTTTCCCGCAGAATATTTCGTCTTTGCGTAAAGACAAATTTTTATTAGGTCAATTTCTTTATAGAAAACAGCTAGAAAGCCCCATTTCAGGGCTTCACTGGCAAGCAGTGAACTGCCCCCTTTCACAACCCTAGGCTTCTTTCTCCTTCAGCAAACTGTTAGCTTTTGACAGTGCAATTAAAAATACCTCAAACCCCTTAGTTTATTGGCCTATTGCACTTTCTATCTGGGGTCACTTAGCCCAGATCATCTGAAACAATTATATACACTTCGAGACCTCTAGAAGCACTGATGCCTAAGAAGAGAATAAAATTCATGATGCTTCCTAGTTCATCTATCTAGTCTTGTAATCTTTTGACAAAATCCACAGACAGGAGCTAAGTGGAAAGCAATAGCTCTGTGGCTCAGTTTCTCAAATTCCTTCTTCTACTGAAATGAGAGCCCTCAAATCCTCTTTCTCCCAGTGGTATTGTGAGAATAAATTCTTCAGTGGCACTAAAAGGCCCTCAGATATTAATGCTGAGTACTTGCAAGGGTACATAGAAAGACAGATGGTATGTGTCCTTAGCCCCCAGAAACCATTAAGTCCCACTGCTCTGCAACTGATCTGTTCTGTTAGCTCTCCTCTCCAGCTCTTTTTGCATTCAGTTTTCTTCTCTGCATGCACATTCTTTGGGGCTGGAACCAGCAATCTTCCTGCCTCCAGGTACTCGTCATCCTTTTCTGTCCTCTCCTGCCCCACCTGAGGCTCTCCCATAGCTGCTCCATAGCTTGGCACTGTACAGAAGAGCTGAATTAGCCTCA